CAGTCAGGCAAATTGGTGCTAAAACTCACTAGGGAAAAAACAAACCCAAACTAGAAGAGCAATAGAAACACAGAGGAGGAGCTGCAGCAATGGGGGGGGGGGGGGTACCCAGTCAAACAGTACACTAGAGCTCCCTCAGTGTGATGGAAGCCTCTATGACCAGAGTGTTGGTACAGGCACAGCACTGGTCAGAGAAGCCAACAGAGTAAGTTCATAGAGCATGTGTAAACGAGCAAAACACTGGTTTTCATAAATGGCACTTGACAACTACCATCAATATTTGGAAGATAGTAAATTAGATTCATTTATCACACCATATACAGAAATATGCCCCATGTGGAACTAAATATGAGAAATAAAACTATATGAAAATATGAATTCCTCCACAACCTAAGGGCACAGAAAAGCTTTCTTTTCTGTGATTAAAACTAAGTAAGTTTAAGATGAATATGTCTGATTAAGCAAAAGAAAACTTTTCATGACAAAAACAGCATTAGCAACACCAAAGGATGACTGAACTAAATATTTAGCTTATGACAAAATTAAAAGCTAATGTTCTTAAATACAAAAAATTAAAAAATTGAAAAGATGAAGGAAAAATACCAAAAAATCATGTAGAAAACCAGGCTAATAACAATAATAAAATGGTCCTTAGGCATATTAAAAAGTGTTCAACTCACTTATAATAAGAGAAATACAAAAGAAAACTATGGCACCCCCCTGGACCTCAGTCCTCAGGAGAGTACAACAAAACTTGAAATAAGCTGACAAAAGCATTCTCCACAAGCTTCCTCCAGTACAGACGGGCATAGAGTCACGGAAGCACATAAGGCTCCCCTCAACCTAAGGCGGAGTCCAACTACTTCAACTCAGTCATCCTGCCTCAGCTGAGAATTATAGGAATGGCCACAGTGCCCAGCTACTCCTATTTAGCCCAGCCTTGAAGATTTTTCTTTCTTTCAAGATATGGGTCCAGGAAGAGAGAAAGAAAAAAAAAAAAAAGCCCAGCTAGACACAATTCTTGGGAAAGGTGTAACCTAACCTGAGTCTGAAGGGCTTGCAGTTTACTAGACTGGGAAGAAGAGTGGCCAGAACTCCAGGAAGGGAAAATGGGATCACCTGAGTAAACATCGGGATTCTCAGATCACAGCACTGTTGGAACTGTGCTCCTGCAAAGGGTTGAGGCCAGTGAGGGAGTTAGGTAAGTAGTACTTCTGGAAGGTTCTATATACCATATTAAGGATAATGTTCAAAAAGGAGCCACAGGAGGATTTCAACAAGTAGGGTATGATGGCTGTTTTAAATATGAGAAAAGATTACAAGGAGGCAAACCATGGTGAGCAGGAGTCCCAGTAATCAGAATAAACCCAGACAGGGTGCTATCCGTAAAGCACTCCCAACTCACTGAGCAGCCTCCATTTTCAATAATACCACCATAGCTAAAAAAAAGACACAGCGATCTTGTGGCTTAAACGACCAGCATCATATTCTTTGTGCAAATGGGATTTTTATCTGCCTTCACATTGCACCTGGAAGTCAAGATCATTTCATAATCTTGTGTTTGACTGTTCATAATTATACTGTGAAACCCTGACACTCAGTTTCAAAACTGAATCAAACACAAGAATTGGAACTCAGAGTTAAGGAAATTACGTCTGGTATTCTGTCTTTTGTATATAATACAGGACACTGTGCAGAGTTTTTAGAAAAGTATCATAATATTTAATTTTCTATATGATTTATTGGTACTTTTCCCTTCAGCTTTTCAAAGTTCTTTTCATTTAAGAATATTTATTCAATGGCTTATAAAGACTACTTTCTTGATTTTTTGGGGAAATAAACCTTCACATTCATGTATGATTAAATCAATGATGAAAATTCCCTTTTAAAATGTCTGCAGTGTTAAAAAAAAAAACTCACAGAGCTTTAATTTCATTGTCTCTCTGATAGGCAAATTTTTCTAAACACAGTAACAAAATAAGAAAGGTGTCTCACAGTTAAGAAAAGAAACAAAGAATAACTGTTCTTGGGGGAGGGGGGGGGCTTGAAAAGGAGCTTTGCTATTTGGATTGATAGCCTCTTCCTTCCCATCTTTTAAACCAAGGGATGGACACATTCTCCAGACCAAGCCCATTAAAAAACAGTATTTTTTAAAGTACATACTTACAGGGGGAAAACAATCAGACATACACGTACAGAGGTCTGTACAATTCTTGTTTGCTTTTTTTAAAGATTCGTTTACTGTCCTACATGGACCCCACCTACATTAGTGGAAGAAAGAACAAGGAAGCAAACATGATTTCAAAACAAGGCCACGGCAAACAGGTGCTGCAAAAGTAGAAAGTCATCAAAGTGCCCGTGCTGAGTTCCTAGTACTCTGCCAGGACATCGGTGAGAATAATGTTTGACCACTTTCCACCTTGGCACACACAGACTGTATGTAGGGGTACACTGTGTTTGCAAGCACCCTGGAGATAAAGATGCCAGCAGTTCCCACTTGAAGCTCCTTGGCTAGGGTCACTGGTGACTCCAGGCCATACTTGATGGCTAAGAGTACTAAGAGTAGTATCTGCTTTCTGGGAGCTCAGCTCAGTCACAATCACCTTTCCCTTGACTTTTAGGATTAGCTGCAATTTTCAGTGCTCTTAGAAATGGTTACTATACTTTCAAATATGAGCTCTGCTACACACTATCTTGTGAGCCTCTGGCCAAATAACTTCACTTAGCATTGGGAAAGTCTACCTATCTTGCAGAGATATTGTGCAATATAAGCAGTACTAGTATCATCACAATCCTCTTACCACAGTGCTTGAAGGGCAATCAATATATGAGAACTACTAACGCTAAGATGGCTGTTGAATTAAAGAAGGGAAACAGAACTTCTATATAGTAATGTTAAGAAACCAAAGGCTTCCCTCTCCTTTATCTAAGAATTAAAATGTCTTATAAAACATATTGTCTCCTACCAATTCAAGACCCCAATCTCTTCCCTAGTTAACATCACAGTTTCTTATTCCAGTATTTATAAAATGACTGTGTCCTTGTCATTCATTTATGAAAGAACACGAGAACCTATTTATTAGTTTGGTTATTAGTTTGGTAGACCCACATATAAGAAATGATATTGGTACATTTATTTATGCTCTGTAGAAACAGTGCTTAGATAGCCAATGTAGAGTCACCACATATTAGGAGAAGAAGACATCAGCAGCTTGTTCTTATTTGGACATCCCTAAACTGAGAATAATACAACCATCTATAGACCAAGATATTCTCTTAAAAGTGGTGAGCAAGATTCTTTCCTATAATTAGTCTCCCCCACCCTGAAAACCCTAGGGAAAAAGTGTTGTAATGAAATACTGCTTCAAAATAAATGTTCCACACAACTGCACACTCAGCAGAGGGAAAAAAGCATGTGGATCTTAGAACAAAAACATGAAAGTGCCGGCTGGTAAAAGATGCCAAGGTCACATCAGGGTGTCGGAAGACTTCAAAATGAGCCACTCTGACAATCTTCCTCTGCAGCATGCTTCTGAGCAGCATCAACTCTTAACTTCTTTTTGATTAAGACTGGGTATGGTTATCAACTCCAAGCATACACCTGCTGCCTTTTGCCAGGAAATCTCCTTCTAACCCTGGATATACTTTAGAAGTAAACACTGAACAACAAAATATAAATTATTATATCATCTAATTACAATCCCTAAATAGTTTTAACTTTTTGAAGAACAGAGTTGTGAAAAGCAAATTCTTCCTGAGTTGTTCTTTGATCTTCTGGAGAACAAAAAGACAAAGCAAAATTTTTATACTCCAAGAATCTCAAAGGAACAAAACTACTCTAACAAAATTGTTCGGGGCCTTGCTAGAGACTGAATCTAGTATCCTTTGTAGGGGACTGCTGTCATCAAGCTACATACACCTCCAGGCACAATCAACTGCTTCTGGAAAGTGACTATGAGATCAACTACACAGTCATTCATTCAGTGAAAAAATGTGGGGAATTCCAAGCACTTCATATGGAAACAGAAGGGAAGATGAAATGGCTCCTACTCTGAAAAAAGTTAAGGTGTAAGAAACATCTTAAGGGTCTCAAGAGTCATTCACAAGAATATTGTATCAACAAACACACACACAAAAACATAAGCCAATGACACTCTTATACCTATTAACAAACATAAGCCAAAAAGAATGCCTTCTACATTGTGAGTAATGAATCTGTTACCCAATTTGGGGAACGTGATTAAAGCTGTGATTTATTTACAGGGAAAGAATTTATAGAAAAAAAGGTTCTTCCAGCACACAAACCCACACTGTAGATTGGGTGCTTTCCAGCTTGACAGGTAGGGCGTGGCACCAGAGTTCTCACAGTAGCTCAAAGACACTTGGATGAGCTCTCACAAGTCTGGACATTCTGGTTTCCAAAGGCCAGTTAATTCCTTAATTTTCCCTAAGTCCACCTCAAGCCGCCACGCCCGTCCACTCAAGCACACATACACCAGCTAAAGCCCACAAATCTTATCTTCCACTCCTGGACATCTTTCAGGAACCAAGCGCGGAAGACACCCCCATCACACAATACCCACATTCCCTTCCTCTTCTAGACGCTAAACCTGAACAAGAGCCCATGAGCATTCAGCCGGACGCGGAGCGTCTAAAGACCAAAAGCCATCCCTTTAACTGGCACCAAACCCTGGCGGAGAAGCGTGAAAAGCAGCTGCTCTGTACCGGCAAGGAGTGGACTGAAAGCGAGGGAGGACAGGGGTGGAGTGCGGCGCAGGGACTGCGGATGCGGCGGCCCCAGGTCGCCGGCACCGCCCGGGCGCGGCCCTGGGAGCCACCGGCGTGATGCAGGTGACCTTCCGGGGAGGCCGCCAGCTCTCGGGGCGCAGACAGGTTCCAGCCCGGGTGGCTGGTGGGACGTGCAATCACGGCGGCCGTGGGCCTGGCCCGTCGGACACACCCCCGCCGCGGCCCGGCCTCCCCGGCCGGCGGGCGCTCACCTGCCCCGCGAGCGGCTCGCCCCACGGGCTCTCGGGCCTCGGCTGCGCCGATCGGACCGCGCTCGGCACTGCGCTCGGAGTTCCGCGCGGAGCGCGGCGGGAGTCGGGAGGGCGGCGGCGGCCTGGGCGGCGGAGGAGGAGGACTCCTGCGCTCCGCTCTGGGGAGACCCACCCTCCTCCCGGCCGCTCTGCAGCAGCCGCCCCCGATCACTTCCGGGGCACGGGGGAGCGGGGCGGGGCGCCCGCGGGCACTTCCTGTCCGCGGGGCCGGAAAGGCCATGGCGGCGCGAACAAAAGCTTTACGGGCGGCGCGGACCAAGGGCAGTGGGATAGGCTCCCGGCGGCCTCATGGTGGCTCTCTCCGTCTGCGAGGCGCAAGCACCTCCCAACGCCTGGTCGAGGTTCCGGTGCCGCGGTGTTTTCGTCTTCTCAGGACACGGAGGGGCTCCTGGGGAAAGGAGGGGAAGGGGAGGCCGCCATCTTGCTGCTGGGGGCTGCAGGGTTCTCGGGCAGGCGTTTTTCAGTGCAGCCTGCGACGTGGCTTGTCGCAGATCAGGTCTGGGGAGGTGGGTTGGTCGCCTGCCCTGCTTGGAGGGTCTCAGTGGTTACCTGAAGAACTGGCCTCTGCGGATGGGCTTCTGGTTCCTTTTGGAGGAGTTTAAGGTCCCCTTCCACACTAGATACGGCGCCCAGATAAGGCGGTGGCCCCGTGACACACTGAAGTCCTAAATTAGTAGTTTAACTGAATCGGTTGTTTTCTTTAAATCTTCCCACAAGTTCGAAATACTTTGCCTAGCGTCCCTCCCTGAACTTTAAAATTCTCGTTTCCCTTGGCCGCCCCCATTGAGAACCAGCAAATTGGTTGGCATAACTATTTCAAGGAATGCCCACTCAGTCAAGAAAACAAATAATTGGGGCTGGAGAGATGGGTCATCTGTTAAGAGCACTCACTGCTTCCAGAGGACCCTAGTTCAATTCCCAGCACCCACATAGCAGCTCACAACTGTCTGTAACTCCAGTTCCTGGGGACCCAACACGCATGGCAAAACACTAATGCACATAAAATAAATTTTAAAAAGTAAAATTGTCTTTGGACGTGTGTTTGGAGGGAAGAATTGATGACTTCACTAACTAGTTTTAAACATAAGCAGGCACCTTTTTCCACTACAAAAAGAAGATGGTAAAAATGGATCCAAACAAAGGGGGTCCCTGAAGAACAGGGACCAGTCGTGGGCATTGAGAAGGCCGAGTAGCACTTACGTTAACCTGGGTTGCTGAGAAAGATGGGGCTGCAGAAGGAGACAGGAGTCAAATCGTGAGCTGTCGTTTGTGCTGTGTCTTCTAAATTCTGGAAGTACAGTGGCTAGACAGATTAAAATTTAAGCTGTCAGTTTGTGAAAGGAGGACAGATTAATGTGGGGTGGTGGTGGCAGGTGTGCAAAAGGCAAGCAGAGAAGAGACGTGAACCCCTGCAGAAGTAAAGAAGAGGAAGGAGAAGGATCTTTGTGGCCGTGGCAGTGAATGTCTAAAGGAGATGGTCTGAACGATGAAGCCATATATGCTGAGAACTGTTTGCTGGGGCAACTGGTGGATAAGAGAATGGAAGTGGCCATGGGAATGTTTTGTTTTACCTTGGGAGAGATGCAGTGTAGCACGATTCCTCATTTGTCATAGTAAAAACCTGGAACCAGATATCAGGGTAAATGCTGAAAGATCAGAGAGACAAAGGAACAGACCACAGCCACCTCTCACCTCACCAGCTCCTTAGCAGAAAGCTGAACTCCTGTCTCCTGCCTTATATTCCTTTCTCTGCACAGCATATCACTTCCGGTCTCAACCTCCCTAGTGCTGGGATTAAAGGTGTGTGTGCCTCTCAAGTACTGGGAGAAAGAGCATGAGATCCCAAATTCTGGGATTAAAGGTGTATGCCACTACTGCCTGGCTTCTATGGCTAACTAGTGGCTGACTTTGCCCTCTGATCTTCAGGCAAGCTTTATTTGTTAGAGCATACACAAAATACCGCAATGCAGGATGAAGGTATTCCTCCTTCCTCCTTACTGTGTGTGTGTGGTTTTTGATGTTTTGAGACAATATCATTTATCCCAGACAGACCTCCAATTGGTCACTTAACTGAAGATGACTTTGAACTTCAGACTCTCCTAACTCCATCTCTCAAGTGCTAATAATACAGACCTGCACCATCATGTCTGGTTTATGCTGGAGATATAGAACCGTGGGTTTCATGCCTAGCCAGCAAACACTAACAGAGCTATATCTCCATTGCATAAAGGTGTACTTTACTAAAGAGATAAAGAAGGATGGACATAGGTTATGGGAGAAGGATTTCTTTAGTTTGAAATGAGTGGTGTTATCTAATGGCAGTTGCTGTGTGGTGGATTTAGAGTTCTGGAGGAGGCTGGAGGAAATGAAGTTAGACACACCACAGGTTTATGTTACCACATTCAGGCAGATGCAGTCTCACTTCATTGGGCACAATTGCAAAACCTTTTCTCCTTTCTGCTTTTACTTGAGAAAATTTTAAAATACTATATTAATATATCTCACTATCCATAGACATTCTAGTAGTCTAATATTTTCTAATACCTAATGGTCTAGTGACTATAAAGGTCAGGCATACCAGAAACAGAAATTAGTGCTAACCCTCATATAGTATTGCAAACTCAGATGAAGTATTGTCTATGTTGATATTTGTAAAATATTTTTTATAATCAGTAACAGCATGTACTAGCCACAGATTAAGGTTGAGGACAGTGGGCTTCACAAATAGCTGCTGAATGGAGAACTAGAGTGAGCAGTAGAGACAACCTCAGATCCATCAGACTGTCTCAACCAATGCTGAGTTGTTCACAGCTGTGTTCACCTAGCATCAGATGACAGAAATCAAACAGTTCATTTTGAACAGGAGCTTCTGAAAGCCTCAAGTAACAAAACCTACATATAATAGCTATAGCAGCCAGCCCAAAACAAATTAGTAGTTTTTACTCTATTATATGCTTGTAGAATAGTGTTGTGAATACATAGTGATATTTACTTATTTACCTTTAGTTCTTAGATGACTTAAGTGCACTTTCTCATTTCTTGGAAGAGAAGTATGTTTAGGTGTTTTAACCATATAGCTGCATGTAGAGACTGGAGATTGCAATCTCAGCATTTAGGAAGGTGAGGCAGAAGGATGATGGTAAATTTGGGATCAGTTTAGGCTACACAGTAAGCCCTGTCTAAAACAAAACAAAACAAAACAAAACTTGTCTATGAACTAAGAATGAGAACAGTTAACTGGAATCTTTGTTGCCATTGCTCTCCCCCCTACAACCCCCAGTTGTAGAATTTTGAGATAGAGTGTCTGTAACCCAGGCTAATCTCATAGCTTTCTATATAACCAAAGATGACCTTGAAACACTGATCCTTCTGATTTCATCTCCCAAGTGCTGGGACCACAGTCCTTTGTCACCCCACCTGCCTTGAGTACTTTTAATTGTTCATCGTATGACCCTAGCAAAGTTACTTAACATTTATGTGCCTTATTTTCTTTGCTTATAAAATAAAGGCAATAACTTTCTACTAGTCTGCTTTTCAGAGAAACTATAAAAAATAACAGTATTATAAGCTCTCCAAGAATTTAAATGAAAAGGCATCATAAGTAGCTATTGCTAAGTGAACTAATATTAACTAGAACTCAGAACATCACTCTTGTCTAGTAGAACCCAGGAGCATTCATTACTAGATTTGCTCCTTGGGCAAATCAAAGAACATGAAGGATCTTTTTAAACAGGTTTAGATTTCCCCTTGAATTACAAATTTACTTTTATTATTTATGAGCCAAATCTTATACATTAAAATACATGTAGTATAATCATAACAGAAAGTTTTAGTAAACAGTTCATATGTTCACAACTAGTCATAGGGTATATATATATATATATATATATATATATATATATATATATATATATATATATATATATATGCTTTAGGGAAAAATACAAAGTAATTGTGATTTTTGTGAGGCATATCAGAATACTGTAGTCACCTGAGATTTTGTGTTCAAAATATTACTCATGTTTCTATGGAATAATTGGAATTTACATTCACCTATATACTTATCTGAAACTTAAATGTGAGCATTCCTGTGAATCTGACATTTGTATCCCTGGTTAGTCAAATGTATAGTGGCAAGTAGAGTCCCATGAGGATTGTCCAGGGTTTATCACAGATGGTAGATATTAGGTTCATAGCATCAGTATTCCTTGGGGGAAAGATTTATGCATTATAAATATTTAAACATATTCTTGGCTAAGTAATGCATACCTATAGATATGTTTATTATATACCAATTTATAAAAACATATGAAAAAGATACACTAATTATACATCTTAAAACAGCAATTAAAATCCCTAAGATGTATTGGGGGCTAAATAGAAAAGTGGTTGGTTAGTAGTTTGTCACCACTGATAAAAAAAATCAGAGTATGTGTTTAAGTAATGTTCTAGTTATGGACATTTTAAGACACATGACAAGCTAACATTTGTATTTCATTTTGTCTGCACAATAGCTTATGAGTTTTTTTTTTTTTTTTTTTTTGGTTATTCCAAGAAGTTGTCCCAGAGGCTTTAACAGCATGCCTAAGCACTCAAATCTTCATAATTTTCAAATAATAGAATCAGACTTACCTTGTATTATGATTGGTTTTAATGTCAACTTGCCACAAATTAGAATGACCTGAGCAGGGAGCATCACTTGAAGAAGTGTCCTGATTGCTTTGACTGATGTAGAAGGACCAATCCTGGCTGTGGGTGGCACCTTCTGGTTGCAGTACAGATAAAAGGTATGACAGAAGGAAAATCATCTTGCATTTTGGTTGTTTGGCCTTCCTTCTTGCTGAGTTATTTTTCCCATTGTTGCTGCCTGCTGCTGATTCCTTCCCTGATGTCAGAACAAACATTTCCAAACTTTCATCATTGAGTAGGGACCAGGGGCTCTCCAGAAATCTTACAGGCTACTAATGTTTAGAGAAAACGCCCCTGAGACTCTCAATTGCACTGTTCCTTCTGTTATTTCCTACCATGTTAATCTGGATATGATAGTTATATCAGGACATTTTGTTACTTGAGTATTTCTGTCTTATTATTGAATGCTTTGCAGAATCTCTAAAATTCAGCAAAACTTAACATCTTTTAAACTTAGACT